GAAAAACGAGATGGGTCTAATTTACGTAACAAATAACCGATTACATTCGGTGAAGAAAGAGGATTTGTTCTTACCTTGCGTGCAGAGAAGCAAGAATATGGTCTACACGTTTAATTCTTTAAAGTTCGATGGTCTCTTTAGCAGCTTTTGGTTCAGAGGATGTACTCTCGTTTTCGGCGTCAAACTGTGCCAGAAGAACACGAGAAATTACAAGCTAAAAAATTTATGGAAGCTTGAGCTTCGATTAGTTAGATGTGCTGCAAGATAATATAGCACAAGTAGATTGTTATGCAATCGTATATCAAGCACCAACTCATTTTCTTAATTAATCGTACGTACTCGTGTAGGCGCACTGCGCACATCACTTAGGTCAAAGGAGAAAAAAGGTAAATAATTTACTAAAATTGGAATATACCATATCCGATTTTCTCCAACTTTGAAGCTGCAGTATTAAAAGCCTTGGATATATGGTACAACGCGCGTCCCTGTCAAAAGAGGATAAAGCGTTACATTAGAACACCTGAGTTTTGACGATATATAAGGTGTAAATACACTTATTACTGATAATCTTATGACGAACTTCCATCTAATCAGAAAACGAACAAAAGATCGGAGAAAATAAGGATATTCAATTATCTGGAGCAGAAACGGAAAGCATGAATCATCACCATAAATACTTGTCAGATAAAACAATGCTACCTTATTGAATATACACTCACAGTTATCACTTATCGTTTATCTCATTTCGATTATCACAAACATGAGAATCGGGAAAAACCACCATCTAGGAACTTCAACGAACTTTACGATAGGCCAAAAAGAAGCATTAGCAACACCGAATACATACAGACCAGCTGAAGTAGTTACTAGTTAGACTCGTTTCAGACAATAATATATATACACATACACGAATCACACAATTTGAAGTCCATACAGCGCTTAAGGGATAAAAAACCCGGAAGGAACTACAATAACGAATACACCAAACAAAATATCATCTTGCAGCAACTGTATCTGTAGATGCAAAATTTCAACCAAATAATCCGAAAACTACGAAATACGTGCTTAATGTCATCACACAGTTTAAATTAAAAAAAAAAAAAACGAACAACGGTAGGTGAAGGGGATACTAACAACTCGAGACGCAAATACGTTGCAAAGCTGGGGGGCTTGGTATATTGATCCATCCAAGACGTAGTAAGTTAGCATAGGTGTCACTTTCTCGGGGCCATCCCGTTTTTGCTTTCTGAATACGAACAAATGCGGCTCCAACACTTCACTCAACGAGTACTCTATTCCGGTCATCTTCCTTCATGCAGAAAATATACCCATTGAATAACATCAAGCTTCAATTTTTTTACAAATTCAATTTAGACTACTTCATTAATAAATCCAATTTCACTGTGTTTATGTGTACACATACACTCCAAATTGAACCTTAAAAAATCAAAATTAACTATCGGATAATTATACCCAAATTGAAAATTAACGATCAAATTAGGTCGAACAAAAAGCGGCACTTACGAGAGGTGGGAGAGATCGAGGGGGTGAGTTGCGCGGAGACGAAGCTGCTCGTTATTGCACGAGTAATCGTAGAATGGGGAGAGAGCGAAGTAATCAAAAACTAGGTTTCGGTCAAGTGGGTAAGTGTTGAGCCACAGCTGATCGCGGAAGCAGATTCCGGTCATGTCTGTACCCGGAGGAGGTGGAGCCACCATCTGTGGTGGCGGAGGCGCACCGCCATCTAACGCCGGGTTCGCCGCCGCGGGTGGAATCATCGGCGTTGTTGCTATTGGGTATACAGTCACTACGGTATAGCTTCTCCACAAATTGGTTGAGCCACGCCGGTCGCCGGAGAAATTAGCGGTGGCTTCTCCGATGGAAATGGACGGCGAGTTGGATGGATGGAGTGGAGGTGAGAAATTTTGCAGGAATGTGGGATACGGGTTTGGGTTTG